AGCAGCAGCAGCAACAGCAGCAACAGCAGCAGCAGCAGCAGCAACAGCAGCAACAGCAGCAGCAACAACAACAACAGCAGCAGCAACAGCAGCAGCAACAGCAGCAGCAACAGCAGCAGCACGGAGTCCCCCAGGTGTCTGCCGGTGTCCCCGAGGGCCTCAATCGCACGCGCGAGAAAAACAAAGAAAATAAAGAGAATGAGACAGAAGGAAGGGAAGAGACAGCAATAAAAGGAGACAAATGCCTCACCGCCCCGCGTCTCATTATCTCAATTACAGATATAAACAACAGCACCAAATTGCCGCTCAGAGACTGAGAAAAACGAAAACCAAGGAGAGCAAACATGCACTGTTTAAATGCGATTGCTGCTGCTACTGGTGCTACTTATACTGCTGCTAGTGCTGCTGCTGCTGCTGCTACTGCTGCTACTGCTTCTGTTACTGCTGCAGCAGCTGATGTTTCTACTGCTACTGTTGGTCTTGCCGCTGCTGCTCCAAATGCTACTCCTGCTGCTGTTTCTGCTGCTCCTGCTGCTGCTGCTGCTGTTGCTGCTACTGGTGCTGCTGCTGCTGCTGCTGCTGCTGCGTGCTGCTTACCTTGTTGCCCACGAGGGAAATCGGCATAAGAGTCATCGCCCAAGTGAGACGACCCATCTGCAGAGAATAAGAAAGTACAAAAAAATGCATAACTTTAAAAAAGATATATTATTTGTTCAGCTGTCTCCATATGCTGCCTTTTGCTTCCGCAGCAAACATGCTCTGAGCAGCAGCAGCAGCAGCAGCAGCAGCAGCAGCAGCAGCAGCAGCAGATGCTGCTGCTGCTGCTCCTGCTGCAGACAGTCTCTAAGTGAGGACATTAAATAACTGTCAGGTAGGTATAATTCACTAACCTATTAATTTAATTAATCTATTAATTTAATTAATTAGTAAATTTACCGATTTAATTGATTTAATGCATTTATTGATTTAATGAATTTAATTTATTTATTGATGTAGTTAAGTTAATTAATATATTAATTAAATAAATTTATTAATTTAAATAATTAATTAATTGAATTAATTTATTAACGAATGAATTATTACTCACTGCATTCATTACCGCTATAGCCCCATAGAGCCATGTGGGGTACATGAGTCTCCCTTGCATGCTGCATGCAGACAAACAAACGCAGCAGCTCTAAGCATGCATGCATGCATGCATGCATATCTGCTGCATCGAAGAAGAACATCAATCTTAATGTATTGTTTGTAATACCCTTATTCTCTTCTTGCACTCTACTCAACCTCTGTACACCTCATGCACCAATTGTTTATTACTCATAAGATAGAGAGACCGGCATAAGGAGATAAACAAAGACAGAAAAAGAAAGAGGGACAGAGAAAAACATAACAAAAGAAACAAACAGACGGATATAAGTAAAAACTAAACAAAGACAGAGACAAAGAGAAGAAATATAAACAGATAGACAAAGAAAGGCATGCAATAACGAGAGACAGACAAAGGCAAAAAGAGAGACAAAGACGGGGATGAAAACAGAGACAGAGATAAATAGAGAGACAAAAAAAGGAGACAGACAGAATTACTGCATGCAACAGTTGCATGCAGCAGACGCAGATGCATGTAACAGATGCATGCATATCTTGTTTTGCCTATGTACAGGTCTATGCCGTCATTCCTGGATTTGTTATATATATATATATATATATATATATA